ACTGAGAGAACACTAGACTTCTGTACATCCTCTTGGCTCCGTTTTCAGGCTTAAGAAAATCCAGGCTGTGACGTCATTCCCTGTTGCTACAGATGACCTTACCAGGAGGAGAGCCGGCAGCAGCTCTGGAGATGAATACCCAGTCAGTGGCCATAGCAGCACGAACCCAGCCAGCACAAACCCCAGCTCAGGGGAGCCAGACAACCCAAATCCCATCTAGATCAGCAAACTTTCTGTTGCTGCCTTTACACAGATTAACAGCCCCCTGTAGCACCTGGTGCGAGGCGGTTTGCGCTGGCATTTAGATGCCACTGTCACTCACTGAAGGTTGGCCTCCTGAGCTGTTGCCGCTGTCCTCATGGTGAAGCATTCCATAGTGGCGGAGAGGTGGAGGAACCAAAGGGTGGCTCGCAGCTAATTCTTGTCTAATTTTTGGTCTAATAAGAAGAGAGGGAGAGAGCAGAGCAATGAGGGTCTGAGCAAATCTGCTGTGTGCAGCTCTACAGTAAAAATAAGATTACATAAATCAGTGCATGGGAAAGACTGGGTGATTGTTTGAAGCACCCAGTATGCAAGAAGCATATGCCTGTGGTTGTCTGGTGGGAGGGGCTTAGGATAGAGTGGGGAGAGCTGCAGATAGAGGGTGTATTTTTAAATTCTGCTGTTTTTTTTTCCCTGTTCCAGATCACTGCCTTCCCCAACTTTAGGTAGTTGTGGTGGTTCCTTTTGTGTTTGTTTACCATTTTTGTTTCTTACTCTGCTATTACTCTGCTAACCCCATATTTAACATCACAATGCTATGAATTGTGCGCGATTATCTCAGGCAAAGTCGGCAGAAATGAGGACTACAGTATGTGTGCATAAAGGGCTCGAAGTGCTCTTGAATATTTGATATTAGGAGAGCCCTAAGCCCTCACAGAATTAACAGGAATGCACCTTAAAGTCTGCGAGTGTGGGCAGTGGGAAAAAGGCTTACACATGTTACTTTGAATTTTTGTTTGTACATTTTCACTGTTTTTTTACAGTTACCTTTTTAATGTCACATATCCTGGATGGTTCTGAGTGTAACAGAACATACCATAAAAAGAACTTTCTTTTTTTTATGATATGCTATTTTTATGGTTTCTATTTCTGTGTTCTGTCAGAGATATCGCGTAGAGACAGATAGCAATCTGAGACTGATATCCATCATTCAGCCTGCTACAAGTGCAATTCTACTTCCTTAAAAACAGTGGACTTCCTCAATGTGTAAATCGAAAATATGTATGAAATGGTAGCTACATTTGATTCTGCCACTAAAGTTTGGCCCAATCATGATGATTATTTAGGCCTTCAGAGCAGCTCTACCCTCATAAATATTTAAGTAATTAAATATCAAAACTGCTGCTGCCAGTGGAGTTAAAATAATGTTGTAGAAAAGAAGTATTGGGTTTCATTTTTTTAAGTAAATGAACACAGTTGTGCTAATCAAAGACTGTGCATTGCTCAACAGACCTCTGCATTACAGTACATGTTGACAGGTTAATGGCTAATACAAATATTGTTGAATAATGATGCAACCGTGTAACTGACAGATGCTCCACACCTGCCATGAACTTCAGTGCCTCATGAGAGACAGTGAATTAATTTTCTTTGTCCACGATTCAAAGGCAGGGAAATATTTGGATTCATTTGGAAAATGAAGCTCATGCACACACTCATCAACGGACTGAAACCTTTGTGGACCATGACTGAGAGAACATTTCCAAGTCGACTCCCATTGCAAAAATAGTTCAAGTGGAAACACTGAAGATGATGTGCCATTTCTAATATTACACTTTTCAGATTGGAAGAATTCAAACCCTGAATTCAAAACATCAGTGTTGCTGTTTTCTGTCTCCACTGCAATGTGGAAATTTGCAAAGTACTGTTGCCGCGAAGTATGGGGGAGTATAGGAGCAACAGAGGTGGTAAATGCCATTTTAATGACTTCAGCAATGTAAAAGATGTCCAGATTGTAAGGGGATATGGAGTGTGCTTGCACTGGATAAAGCTGAAGTGGTTGATTTGAACTCTGGACTGTTTACTCAGGTCACCATGCTGTTTACTTCAGTTTAGTTCAGGCAGGTGAGAATAAGGTCATTTGAACTAAGGATTACACCAAATAACCACAACGAAAAGCCTAAAAATACAAGTATCTTTTCTCTTTTAAGTGAACAGCAGTGTGGTTATTTCAGAGTGAGAATGTAATTTCAACCAACCACAGGAAACAGCCCCAAAATGTGCATTTTAATGGGGACAAAGGAGACAGATGTTGACATCTGATAGCCAGCAGTTGCTCATGCTTGAAAAGCCAAGCATAACATAGTGAACTGAGGGCAAACCGCGGTCTGATCTGATGCTCATTTTCAGCTTTTCTTTTATGTGTTCTAACTGGTTTGAACACCAGAGACGGTAAATCACAGCAGAGAGCATCACGCTTAGCTAAAGTTACAGGGGTTGGAATTGGGTTTGTTTTTACTACCCTCTCCCAACAAAACCTTGAAGAGTCTTGAAAACAACAGAAGATTCCTGCAGAAAAAAAATCACCTCTGTTGAGTCTTTTATTGTCTCAAAACATTTCAGTCCAAGAACTTAACAAATACATTCCTCAGTGAGTTGACCCAAGATACATGATTATATACAAAAACAGCTTGACTGAGAAATTAGGTTGCACCTGTTAATATAGAGATCTGCAACTTTCCCAGCACCTTCCGAAGAGTGTCTGTTGTGTGTCTTCCATATTTACTTGTAAGTATTTAATTGTTTAAGTGTGTATTAAATTGTTTCCCTCAAGCACCATCAGTAACATTGTATTAAGATAGGACACTCCCAACAGGAGAGCTTTGAGGATACGTGGGTTACAGACATGTTATGGGTTCATCTGAGGGATACTGCTTGTTTGTGCTCACAGATGTGGGCCTTCCACTGCCTGCCAAACATATTGCATATGTCAACATTCATTCTTGGGAATCGATAGTGACCCTTTGTCCTTAATAACTGTAATGTAATGTGGGAGAGCAAAGCTTGACATTTCTATGTTCCCACAGGATTTTTAGGGTTATTTATTTTGGGTAGTTATTGTGACCAACTACGTTTGATGTTGATGTGGTTTTTCTGACATTAATGGAGTCCTGCGGTGAAAATACTGGTTTTAGTCAGTGTACAGCTTCTTGGTGAAACTTCACCACTTTAAGGTAACTATTTAACGTCATGTGCAGGTATGATGGCAGGTCAAAACTAGCTGGCTTGGAGATGCGTGCACACATGCAAAATATTAATTATTGCAGTATACTCCTTAAACTAGAGGGCTTTTGTATTAAATTATAGTATGCAAGTACTTGGCAGTGGACCACTCTTAGAAGATCAAAAAAAAAGTTTATACAGTCCCTACACATATTTGGTAATTCTCTGCCACTTTAAGATATTGCTGCACAGTTATAGACTACCACTGTCTCATGACTCATAAATTAACATCCCTAATTAATTAACATTTACCAGAGACAAAGGCTACATTTCTGAGAATATATCAGATGCTTCTACTCCTAAACAAAGCAAAAGGATGTTAAGTTCTTTTGAGTAGTCTTTTGGTGTTCATCCTTTCATCAAAGTATCTAAGCATGCTGCAAGCTTATTGAAAACAGTAACAATTACTCTCTTACAGTCATTGTTCGGTCTGACAGACCCTGCTAGTAATTAACTTCTTTTGCGTGGAAATCAGATTTTTAACTTTGTGCTACATCTTAAATGTTTGTCTGTATGTAATTTCCCTTTCCTTTGAGAAACAACAATGACGTACTTGCACAATGACCCTGACTGAAACAGATTTTTTTGTGAGATTTGGGGGGAAAATTAAACATTTACACTGGAAAAGGTCTCAGAATTGCTTCTTTGCTTTTTGTAGATGGTGTGGTTCTGTTGGCTTTATCACATCTTGACCTCCAGCAGGCACTGGGGTGGTTTGCAGCTGAGTGTGACGCGTGTTAGGATGGGAGTCTGCACCTCCAAGTCTGAGGCCATGGTTCTCTGCCGGAAAATGGTGGATTGCCCCCTCTGAGGTCGGAGTGAGTTACTGCCTTAAGGGCTGGAGTTCAAGTATCTTGGGTTCTTGTTCATCAGTGAGGGTAGAATGGAGTGTGAGATGGATCGACGGTTTGGCATGGTATCTGCAGTGTTGTGGGCTATGTGCCGGACCATCATGACGAAGAGGGAGCTGAGCCAGAAGCCCTAACCTATGGTCTTAAACTCTGGGTAGTGACCAAAAGAATGAAATTGCGGATATCAGTGGCCAAAATGAGTTTCAGTGGGGTGGCTGGGCTCAGCCTTAAAGATAGGGTAAGGAGCACAGACATCCAGAGAGAGCTCTGAGTAGAGTCGCTGCCTTTTTGCTAGTGGATGGCAATCCACTGGCAAAGGGGCCAGTTGAGGTGGTTTGGACATCTGATTAGGATGCCCCCTGGGTTCCTCCCGTTAGAGGTGTTCCAGGCATGTCCCACTGGTAGGGGGCACCAGCCTGCTGCCCCTGTGACCCACCCCCAGATAAGTGGATGAACAAGGATGGATGGATGGATGGATGGATGGATGAATGGATGGATGGATGGATAGACTATTCACTATTCTGAAGCACTGCAAATAAGACATTTATTTAACAGCTAAATACCACTACATTAAACCAGCGAAGTTCAACAGCTAGCTGCTAGCTTTTGGTATCAGCTAAAAACAATGTTGATGAGAGCAGTGAGACTGAGGCAGAATTATTGAGTTGTGGTCCATGAAACTGAAACAATGAGCCAAAAATGCCAAAATGCTAAGAAGAGCATTTTGGCCTTTTTTGGTTCAGTAGAGTGAAAATTCTCCATGGGTTTATCACTGACTCCTTTTACCTTACATGTTGCCATTTTATCCATTGTTAATGCAAGTGTTTGATGAGAGCAGCTTGAACTTCCACCTTTCAAAACTTTTCTGAAAAAACAAAAACTTACCATTTGTTGCCTGGTGGTCCAGACTTGTTGTGACATCCAGGTCCACTTTCTGTCCACATCGTCCTAAACCCTGAATGAGCTGTTGCAAAGGTAATTCACTTTCCAAGCTTGGGTAGCACCTCAGGCCGCTGGAGCACCTCGGTGTATAGACCCCGCAAAGCTCCCCCTCAAGCCTGGCGCACAGTGGACAGCAGCCGCAGCCTGGCTCCCTTACTATTTCCGCACATGCTGTTGTGACTTTGGGACAAGCAGCTAGGCGCTCCGCGGTACAACTTGGGCATCGGAAAGCCAAATCCCCAAGTAAGAATCCTGGCAAAGCAAAATACGCAAACAGCAACCCGTAAGTAACATATATGACCATTCTAACGATTTCTAGGTTTTTCGTGGCTACCGTAAGTCAAAATGACCCTTGGTCATAAGATGACAGTATGAACCTCAGGACCCTGACAGTCAACTGTGAGTGGGTAAACACTGTGATACCACTGACAGGGTCCTATCTGCTCTCATATTACTGCCTGGCTGAAAATCAGAAGAACTAGAGGGCCCATGACATCAAGATATAGGCTCCATCCTGGAATGATTTATTTTGTTTCGGTTTATTTGTGCAGATATAAGTTTAAATGGTATAGAAAGATATTGTGGAATCCCTAGAAGTCTACAAGGTGTTTACAAGTATTCTCATTTGCGCACAAAAAGATTTACGCCCACATGTGAATCAAATTCAGTATTATATATTAACAGAAATCAGGTGGACTTCATTGTTTTTCTTTTTCTCAAAATCATAGCAGTGCCGAGCTGAAATGACAAACACAAATACAACTGACTCAGCCCCGTGCACACTCCCTCATAAAAGAAAGTTCAAGTCAATGCAAACCACAGAAAACCAGATCTTTCCTGGGGAATATTAAAGCTAGTGCTGAGTGTCTGTGATGTGGCCCCTTCATTCCCTGCACGTCAGCTGGCACTCAGTTAAAGGTGAGGCCAGGGGGGACCAAAATTGCTCTCCATTTCTATGTATCCCAATTATTTTTACTAGTGGTGGTGGTTAACATAATGTGCTACGTTACCAAATTTTCCTGGAAAACCAAACTGATTACGCCACAGCTGTCCCTCAGCCTCAAACAAGTCAGTGTTTACTTGAACCCTATGGAGATGGGACTGTTGTGACATACAGCTGACCTCAATCTGGTGTTTCTTTTTTCTGTTTTTTTTGTCATTTCACCTCTTTATTCTTTGACTGTAACTACATATAGTACACATAAAGTGTGAATGACATCCATGCAGCAGTGAGTGCTTGTAAGACAACTTACAACAACACTTCAATCAGTATATAAACAGGTTAAGAAATGCAAAATACACAACTGATAATCTGATATGACATTATTTCAATAAATATGAAGAAGAAATGAAATGAAATGAAAAAGTAACCACTCCAGTCCTACACAGAATTCAATCCAATGAAATAATAAGTCGAGTTGAACATGTGTCTTGGTTGTATACAATAAATGTACATTGAGAGCTGAACTGCTTTTGCACAAAACAAAAATTGCAAATAACATATTTTGTCTTTTTTTCTGTCTTTAGTGGATTTTAAGCTTCAGGAAACAAAGACTTTGTTTTAACATAAGAACACATACTTGCCCATCAAGGCAACAACTAAACCAACTTACAGTACATTTAAATGTGTCTCCATTATTACTGTCACTTGCAATCATTATTTCTTAGGTGATTTGGTCAGTGGGCTTCAACCCTGATCATGATTGCACATAGGCTGCAAAACTGAAAAGTGAGATGGATAATCCCTTCTGCAGGACAGGGCAATATTTTGATTAAACAGAGGAAACTGTGTCTGGAGTTTTCATTAAAGTTGAGATGCAATAAAAATGCCCTTTAGACCCTTGTAGATCACATCTCTGGACATTTTGTGCACCTATTTAACAATATATGCCAAAAAAGTATTAAAAAAAGTTTAAAAAAAAAAAAAAAAACTTCAAATAGACTGAATCACCATGACGTCACGCAAACAACCATCATTTCCACGTAGACAACTGGCGATTGATTTGAATTGCAGAGATATGTAAAATCAGGACACTTGTTTATTTCTGTCGTCATATTTTAGTCACCCTAAAAAATCAATATTAGTGTAAATGTACGCTATATTTGAACATTACATTGTGGTAGACCAGCAACTCAAGTGGTCTAGGTAAAATGATTGTTTTTGTCAGTGAAGTCTGGTGGCTTTGATAAAGTTTCAATTCCCCATTGGAAAAGGCTGTCTTCACAGCAAAGTAAAGTGGTTTGAATATTCTAAACATATCATTCACTTAAAGGGGAACTTACGTTTTTTTCAACCTGGGCCATATTTTCCGATCTACTTTTGTCTAAGTGAGTGATAGGATGTTCAATATTTGACATTTCTCCAGTACGAAGCTAGGGTTGACCTGCCTGCAGCCTATGCACTATATTGAGTAATAGGGCACTCAGACAGCATCAAACAACGTCAAATTATGTCCACTAAAAGTGCATTTTTTTTCCACACAGATAGGCTCGGATTGTTAGTATAATTATCCAACAACATAACGGAAAGAAGAAATGAACGTCTGTCTTTACCTTTAGCTGGAATTGTACATATTTGTTGTGGCAAGTCAAAACACTTCCTCTGCCTGCTCCCTCTCTTTCTCTCCTCGTCCCTCTTCAATGAGCTCTGTGTCCGTGTACATCCGTGTACTCCATGTTCAAATAAATATGTGCGGTCGTCAAATTCAAATGGCTCTTCCAGATCCAGTTGGTCAAAATCGGGTAAAAATTCAGCCATGACTACTCCAAACAGTCGCATTTGTAAGCTTGCTCCAGCGGTAACTTCCTGCAACAACTCAAGTCTTGCGAGACCAACTACCGTAAAACACCATAGACTGTATAGTAAAACACCAAAGAAGAGGAAGAATCTCACGACACGTGAGATTTCAGAGCCAGACTTTCACTCTCTGAGTGAGTGTTTTGACTTGCCACAACAAACATGTCGGAATTTTTACCCGGTTTTGACCAACTGGATCTGGATGAGCCATTTGAATTTGATGACTGCCCGTATTTATTTGAACACGGAGTACACGGATGCAGAGCTCATTGAAATTGAAGAGCAGAGGAGGAGAGAAAGAGAGGGAGAAGCAACAGGCCAAGGAACATGTCCGAATCCAGCTAAAAGATAAAGACAGACGTTCATTCCTCCTTTCTGTTATAATGTCGGATAATTATACTTACAATCCGAGCCTATCTGTGTGAAAAAAATGCACTTTTAGTGGACGTATTTTGACGTTGTTTGACGCTGTCTGAGTGCCCTATTATTCAATATAGCGCGCGCTCATGGGTTGCAGGCAGGTCAGTCCTAGCTTCGTACTGGAGAAATGTCAAATATTGAACATCCAATCACTCATTTAGACAAAAGTAGATCCGAAAATAGGGCCCAGGTTAAAAAAAAAAAGTTAGTTCCCCTTTAAACGGGCATTGATTTTTGATTTTTTTGGTGGGCCTTTATAGGTGACTACTGAGGCAGAGTTTGCTCAGCACTGATTTTATTTACATGACTTGAGGGTTTTCTTCTTTTTTGTTCTTTCTCTTGTCAAAGAGTGATCTGTAAGAAGAGATTTTTTTCCCACAAATTACATTACTATCAAGCAGAAAAACTCAGAAACAGCTTGAAAATCAAAACTAACCCTGAGTATGATTCCCTTACATCAAAGTGTTACGTTGAAACTAATGTCCTGATAAGGTCAGAGAAACCACATTTAATAGTTTACCAGATCTGAAGACATTTTGTGACAAACTGAAATAACAAATGGGTCCCAAGTGTTGGTGTGTTGCTATTATCTGTCAGCGCCTTGCCAGGCTTCACCTTTTGTCTCTTTCCTCTCCGGATCTTTTGTGCATTGTGAACAGAGCATTGCCATCAGAGAAACTGCTATAGTTTCTCTGCAGCCTGTACAGGCTTCCATTTGTCTCTCCCATTTTGTCTTGTTTCTCACTTTTTTCTTTGTGGCATGATAACTAAAGATTTATCATCTCTGTTTTACAACTCACCAGTTAGGTCCACTTTTCTCCCCTTGCTGTCTGGACCAAGACTGTCAGGCCTTTTGCACAAAAATTGTTCAACCTCTAGTATCTTAAAGACTGTGATAAATGATCAATAAGGGGAAGTGATACAACACTGGATCCGGATCTGGATTATCAGCCTTTCACTTCTTTTTATTGGAACAGATTTTTTTGCCTCCAGTGTATCCACTCTGTTCCTCTTTTCATCTGGACTGAGGTTGTTTGGCCTTTTGTATTAAGATAAAAAAGTCATTTCAATCTCCAAAGTCTTAACAGCCACAGTTAATAATTAATACAAGTTATATAACACTAACTTTCTGATACAGCCTCCTATCCTTATATTGGAAAGTTTTTGTTTAGCCCCTGGCTGTCTTTGATTCTTCATGACTGCAGTCCACCAGAGTCTTAAGTATTCCATTTGAGTGCATTTGACTCTGGTGGACTCTCCATCGGTGCCCTTTGAGCATTGGGTAGCCATCTCCTGTCAGGCCTCTGCTGGAATCCTCAGTGGCCAAGTCTGTTGGACTTTGACGGATTCCCCTTCGGTGACCCTGGAGTACCCAATACTAGAGTTCGTCACACAGGAATCCACCTTCTCGTCGGCATCCGTTTTTTCTTATTTTATTGTTTTTAGTCTTCAGTCAGACTCTGCTTAGATCTGGTACACTCCTAATAAGTACCCTTGGAGCATTTGATGGGTCTAATATCCCTTCGGTGGCCCTGGAGCAAGGACTATTAAAGCTCCTCACTAGGGGGCCTCCTGCTCTTTGGCCACTGGTGTATTCGTCTCTGTCTTAGACACAATGACACAACCTGATCAGCACAGCCTCAGGCACTTAACTCCACACCTCCTCCTCCTGGCAGCTAACTCCTCTGAAAAAGTCCATCAGCGCTGCTTCCTCCTTCTCTTCAGTGAGATATTTTAACTGTCAGATCTGTAGCTTTGACAGGGTTGCAGCACAGAGGAAGTAACAGGCTTTAATTCTTTGGATGAGTTTTGGTTGACATATCCCTCCTGATTAACACTGTCAGTCACCGTCAAAACAGTCAAAAGTGGTAAACCATTTTTGTGCTGGTAATCACAGCTGTGGATTCCAGTCATATTACTTAAACATATTCTGTTTGTATGCTTAACTAAAATTAACCAATTTATCAATGTAAAAATCATGTTCTTTAATAGTCATAAACCACGTTCATATCACTTCTGACTCTGACTGGGGGGGGGGGTAACAAATTTCTCAGGGGGCCCATGCTTCCACTGTCCACGCAATGTTTAGTTAACTGCTCCCAGCAACCCCGACACAGCTCCTGCACTGTGCTGAAAATGGTGTGGGCAGGACAGGTACGGCATTTAGTGCAAATG